TACGTATCTATCTAACGAATAACATCATTTGTATTTTTTAAGTTATACTTCTTTAGGCGCGTTATGAAAATTTGATGAGAGTGAAATTTTACGATGCGCGCGCACCTATGACACAAAATTCGGAGTGTGATTATAGCGTGCGCAATCTACAAAAGAAATAGAATATAAGCTAACTTCACGCATATTCTATTTCTTAGCTTAGCAGCTTAACAAGAATTTTGAATATCCATGACAATTGACATCTGACAATGACATTTACCTTTTAAACAAATATAGGAGTTTGAATTATTGTTTAAAATAAAAGATTCTAAAAGTACCTAGTTATTTTCATTATACAAGTGCGAATTTTATATGTGCGTCTGAATTATAATCAGAAATTGAATATCTAAATCAATACTAATTAATATGATAAAATATTTGTGAAAAAACTGTGCCAACCTTCCTGAGTGCTTCAATACAATTGAGGTTAACTATCCGTATGTATTATCGAGTATTATTGTTGATTAAAACTGAAACATGAACTTAATTAACTTTTGTTTATTGCGTTTGTTACAGCAACTTTTTAGAAATATTCTACGACCCTATATATCAATAATTGAGAACAAAGATTTAAGCACGAATACTAATAAGGAGAAAATGAAGGCTTGGAGCGATATTACAGAGAAGTAAACATTTTAATAAGTACCTGCATCTCAAAAAAATGATTACATTATTTAATCAAAACATGTAATTTTTCAGATTTAATCTAGCAAATATAAGGACAAGAGACAAAAAACAATTTCAGTGAAAAGAAAAAAAAGAGTTGTCATCTTATCGCCGTGAAACATCAAAAACAAGAGGTGGAACAAAGCCACCATCACCTTCTCCAGACACAATGGATATGGCAGAGATGATACCGCAACGGTTTGAAGTAGATTTCAATGAATTTGATTGTGATGGTGTCGAGGTAGGAATGTTAATTATAAATATGATGGTGATGTTCAAGGCTCAACCTCTCAAGCATAGGCACATACTTTATTCCCCTACAGGGTAGTTAGAGATATTGTAATACCTCAAAACATCCATGTTGCTCTTGTAGTACCGAAACTCTGTCCAGCCAGAAGTGAGCCCATTCCCACTTATAATGGACAGGATAATACACCTTAATACCTGAGTGCGAACCACTCACTATGACACTTAAATTAATAGATGTTATTTATATATTTCAGGATATTACAAATAAAATCATTTTGGAAACAATTGCTATCCCAAAAGCAAATAAAGCCAACAATGACAAGGTAATAAATCAGTTTTGACATAACTTGAATACTAAAAAAGCCAAACAAAGGTGTGCACAACAGTGACAACATAACTTAACAATTTCATTATTTTGTAGGATTAAAGAAAGGTTAAAGAAAATCATGTTGAACTGATCAACAAGAATCCCCAAACAACTCAAAAGAAACCTACAAGGAAGACACCGGTATTATATTTAAATTATCTCTATCTCTAAATAGAATAAAAGAAAGTTGCTATCCAGGTCTGTAGCATGTGCTACAAATTATATTATTAACACATTTATATAATTATATTAATATAAATGTGTTAAAAATTTTATAATATGAATTATAAAAATTTTTTATTTTGTAAGAGAATAATTATAAATATTTATTTATTAAATTTTTCAAATGTAAACTGAACTTTATTGACTATAATGACTCCTTTTCCAGTCTTTGATTATTTAATTATAATTAATTATTTGCATGCAATCAAAATCTATTTCTAATAATGCCAAAGAAGTATAACTTCTTACGCGCGTACATAAGTACACGCACCCTTTTTTAATATAGGTATTGTAACAAAAATAATTTTTTTTCCTTTCTATTGCTTAAACTAAAATTAGATTTAAATTAACTTGTACGCTATTTTTTACCTTGTTAATTTGTTAATTACTACAATTAATAAAAAAATTCAATTTGTATTTTTTTATTTAAAAAAAATTAAAATGTGCATTGTAGACGAAAAACTAATTGGTGATAAAAAAGGTCCATCAAAGAAATGCTCTTATATCGTTTGAATATTCGTCTTTGACTTTCAGTAACGTGTGTGGCCTCCATGAGCCCTAATCACGGCTTGACAACGACGCGGCATGCTTCGTATGATCCTCCGAATATCTTCTTGTGGAATTCGCTCCCATTCTTCAATCAACGCTTCAGTGAGCTGCTGCAGTGTTTGAGGTGCAATCGGACGCTTCCGGATGCGCCTGTCAAGCAAGTCCCAAATGTGTTCAATTGGATTTAGGTCAGGGCTCATGGAAGGCCACTCCATTACACGGATTTCCTGCTGTCGTAAGTAATCTGACGTGATGGCTTCAGTATGCGGCCTGGCATTATCTTGCATTAAAAGAAAATCTGGGCCCATACCATATGCTGCGGGCCAAACATGATCTTCGAGCACATTTTCAATGTAAGTTTGAGCACACAAGCGCCCGGGAACAACGACGAGATCTGTGCGCTCGTCCAAACTAACTCCGCCCCAAACCATCACAGAGCCACATCCAAATTTGTCATATTCCTGGACTGCTGCTGCACTGTATCGCTCGCCTGGGCGTCTGTAAACACGGAGACGACCATCGCAACGTGTTAGACGGAATCGTGATTCGTCAGTAAAAACCACTGGCCTCCAATGTCGAAGTTGCCAATTAGCGTGATTTTGCGCGAACTGTCGGAGAGCTTGTCTATGTTGAATTGTTAGACGCACAGCCCGAACTGGTCGGCGTGATCTCAAATTTGCTGGTCGGAAATTTCTACACCAGTAGCCGTCCTTAGTGTATTTTGTAGATCTCTTGCAGTTGTGGTGCGGTTACGTAAAGCACAGTTGACGATGTAGCGATCTTGCAAACGTGTAGTTTTTCTCTTTCGACCTTGACCACGTGAGTATTCTCCCGTCTCACGGTATCGCTTCCAAAGTCTGTAGATAACAGAAGGGGCTACTCCTAGATCATTTCCTACATAACGCATAGTTCGACCCTCTTCAAGCAAAGCGATAGCTCGGGAGACATGCAATTCAGTCAGATCTGGCATTATGACCTAAACTCACGCTTCAATGAATAACAATACTCAAAAGGCTCACTTCAATTTCTATTAATACTCAAAAGATTGAAAAAAACTACTTAAAATGTGTTTTCTGTGATTAGAAAGTAATGAAAATTCAAAGACGTCACTTTGTTTTTCGTCTACAATGCACATTTTAATTTTTTTTTAAATAAAAAAAATACAAATTGAATTTTTTTATTAATTGTAGTAATCAACAAATTAACAAGGTAAAAAATAGCGTACAAGTTAATTTAAATCTAATTTTAGTTTAAGCAATAGAAAGGAGAAAAATCTTGTTCCGCTAATTGTTTTGAGCAGTATATTTATATTTATTTCCAACACACAAAAGTATTTACGAGTACAATATTCTTACGCGAAATTCTTTAGCGAACTAGTCATAGTTCGCTATATTCGCTCGTATGTCAAAACGCAATACACTTTTGAAGTACAGTAGACACTCTTGCTGAGTCTCATTTCTGAGTCTTGCCGTTAGGTAGTTAGCCTCATTCATAAGGACAATAATTACGAAATCTACACTACAAAGCTATTTAATAAAAATAAATGCATTAATTCGACGATGCGTGACTCGACCGGTCTACGCCCTTATGGACACGCATCAGATAATTTGTAGCTTTCATTTTTTGTTGCAGCACTTGAACAGGTTAATTTAAAAATATTAATTTCATAAAGATTTTATTTTTAATATCGCATTTTGAATAGACTATATGATTCAAACAATTAACCTCTATTTGTCCCTTCTCACATCACAATACTCGCGTCGCTATAAACACTTTTTTGCTATATGAAGGTATACGTTATTCGTGAAATATAATTATGTGAATAACTTTCGGATAGAAATTAGGGAAATTAAATTAAATCCTTTCTTACTTAGCAAAACCGAAGAGGTTTAAAACCAACTTAGACGTGTAAGAACGCTGGGATTTCTGCTACAGAGTAAATATTATGTTCGCACGACTAGTCCAGTAATTATTTGGTTAGCGGTACATCTAATAATGAAGATTGTATTTAACATATTTTCCATTCTGCAAATACCTTTGAAGTTATAAATAATAAGTAAAAATATAATTATCTTTTTTATTTTGTCACCTGGTTTTCAGGATAAATTACTTTTCGTGCATTTTGGAAATAGTAGGAAATAAAAATATTAATTCTTATACATAATTTAATAATTATTATAGTACAATTGATAAGTAAGTGATTACAAATCTATTATTTCCTGGAACATTCATGTTTATGCCCTGAAAACATGGAACCAAGATACGAGTCTTTAGAATTAAAAATTGTAAAATTAAAAAACACGAAAAAGTTTTTAATTCTTAGGTATAGTTCCAGTTTCAAGTGGATATTAATAAACTTATGTTGCACAATTTTCTTTTTAAAGACGTAGATTATATTAGATTGAAGATTATTTTATTTTAAATTTCAATTATCTCTAGTAAATAAATTGATTTCAATATGCAATCTTCTAGTTTTTAATAGAGAATATATTCATTTTCATTCACACATCGTGTTTAAATATTCAAGTACGAGGCATGAGCGTACCCGTACGAGCGATTCCGTCAATATCCCATGCAACAGCTGTCACTGTCGAGTGTTAGCTTATTGTTGGCATTTAATTTTTTTCTGTCATGACATTTGTTTACGCGCCAAACAAGTACGGACAATGCTGTGTGGCTTTTACTTGAGCGCTGTTTAGAGTGAAATAATTGTGCCTATTGCCACCTTTAAGTGATTTTGTTCATTATTTGTGTTTATTGTTTTTGTTTTCGTGATAATTCATAAGTTTTACCGGCAATGCATAGGTTTATTGAACTTAACAGTGGAGTAAGTTTTTGCCAGTAGGCGCGAACGGCAGGTGCAAACAAGTGACTCCTTGGCGTGGTTTTTAACTGAAACTTATGCGTTATGGCTGCTATAACTCCTCGGCGTTCTTCACGCCTTCCTCATACACATACGCCAAAAATGTCGGAGCGAAAGAAGAGTCTTTTTGTGCCAGAAACGCCTCCCAAGCAGGAGTCATTGACGAAGCATCGAAGGCTATCTGTTGTTGATAGTGAAGGCGATAGCGATGAATGTGATCTCGGCATCATCAGTACTCTGGACTCTAGCTCTTGTGATGAAAATGATCCCAGTTTCCCTAAAACACCTGAGAGGTTTCTGTGGCGTGAGTTCAAAATACTAATACCAATTTAATTTTGTGTTTTTGTCTCTATCTTTGTGGACATACGATTATATCTATGTACACAGAGTTGTAATTGCAAAGCAATTTCGATATTGGCATATATGTAGCAAATTACTATTAGGTATTAGTTTATCTAATGTTAATACTGAACATAGCATTGTTTGATTTATATATATGTTTTTATTTCTCATATTGACATAAGTGAGATATTTCTACAATTCCAATCCCAAAAAATTATAATCTTTTTAACAATTTCCTTGCAGGTGGAACTAGAAGTCACTCGCGTAAGCTTAACCAAACAACAGATCTGAAGAACTTTATGAAATCTCCCTTTACACTAAAAAAATACCAAACGCGTTATTCCTGTCCAGAAAAATGCACATCCTCATCAACACCTGTTACTCCACACTTTCAAAACCACCCTGGAACTCCATCATCTAGTCACTCTTGTACAAGTGTCCATACAACTTCATCTACCTCTAGCCGGGCCCGAAAAAGCCTGGCCAGCCTTATTGCTGACACAGAGAGTTGCAGTAGCTCTTTAAAAGACCTAAACTTTGACTCAGATTCTGGTTCTGATGCAAAAGAGAACACTCCAACAAAATCCTTAAGACGTTCCAAACGAAATCTGAAATTAACACCAAAATTGCAAAGCTTCAAAGGGGTTTTATTGGAGCAAAAGAAAAATGTTACACCAATAAAATCTGCAGTAGTTTGTCTAACTAAAATGGATTTGAGTAATATCTCTCCATCTCATATAATGAAAACTCCTCATAACACTACTGAAACTAAGGCATCCCCACCTAAACTCAGTCATCGCAGATCTGTAATTGAGGTTCAAGAGAGCCCTGAGTCTGTTTGTGAAAGTGAAAAAAGTTACAAACGATTAAACTATGATGACAAAACTGATACAGGCCCCGTATCAAAGTATCCACGTTTAGATCCTAGCACTGCTCCCAAAGCCCGTCTCTCTCTCTTTAACAGTGAGCGACTTAAAGAAATTCTTTCCACAAAATCATTCTATGGCAAACAAAACCCTGAGTTAAACCCTAGTATTTCAACAAAAATATCTCATGCTATACAAGTGACAGCAACTCATAAGCATAGACCTTTCCATCCCCAGTCTAACAGATACAAAAGAAAGCCTGGCCAAATTAATATGGGCGTAAGACATAAAATAAGGAAGCCCAAGCCTTTAAAGAAGCAAATAGCTGTCAAAACCAATTTGATGGGAATTAATAAATCCTTAGTATCCAATAATACTGTATCAACTAATAAAGATGAGTCTTTGAGTCAAGATACATCACAGGAAATGGAGCATGGTAAGAGAAATTTCATTTAATGTGCGTGTTAAACCCTCTGATATATTGTTTATGGTGAGTCTCCATTCAGCAGTCACCAGTCCATTCTGTGTAGTTAGCTATCCCACAGCTAGAATATATTCTGCATTGCCATCATTTGATATAGTATTAAGCATAAGCTTTATTAAAATTTTGGTTATCGAAATAAGAGGTAAATTTTAATAGTACATAAAAACTGCATTATGTAAATAATAATCTTCTTAATCACACTCGTTATTCACTATATTTTCTAAGTGGTCTGGTCTAGGTCAATTATTATTTTACTAGCCTATTCTTTAGGTATAATTTATGTGTAAAACTAGTTCTAATAGTAGAAATACACTACTCTTATAATATTTATAAACCAACTTTTTGATTCAGCACAGTTAACTGTTCTTGTAATAAGAAAAACTGGCATGCACATAACAAAAAATAACATTACAGACAAAACAGATCCATTTGATAAAGAAAGACAGACAATTGAAGCATTACTCAGTCAGTGGACTGAAGAGGAGGTGCCTGAAAATGAACTGGTTCATAGAAAAGAGCTTCCTTGCTTCAATAGCACTGTTATTGAGGAGACCAACCCAATATTTGAACCAGTCATAGCTGTACCAGTAAACAGTGTATTACCCCAAGATGAACCCGTGATCCTTGAAATAGGTCAAAAATTACCGACAGCCCAGTTAGAAGCACCTACAGTTCAGCTAAATGATCAGTTGCAAGCTAATGATCAAATGAGTGATGCAGTAATGGAATCTCATACAGCCAGCCATGGTGTGATATCAGAAGGTCTATTACCAGTTGAAGGTGGCTATATTGTAGTTGATGGAAATGTTGTTCATGGTAAGTATCTATTTCCAAATTGTGTATTTTTGAGGTTAACGGTTAAGGCCCTATCCCAGCACGAATTGCTGTGTCAGTGTCTCGGGGTGGACTGCGGTGCGCAGTGGAGACCTGGAGCACTGAGGCGCGCCGACCCGTAATAACAATTAGTTGTGTAAAACATTAAATGAATGTACTTGGAACGAAGTTCCTTATCGCGCGTTGTGAAAGGGGGCTAGACGGAAAAAAATTCTTACGAAAAGTTGTCACGACACTTTTTTGCTATTTGCTATTGTAATACACCGGTTCTCGTCCGATCACCGAAGTTAAGCAACGTCGGGCGAGGTCAGTACTTGGATGGGTGACCGCCTGAGAACACCTCGTGATGTTGGCTTTTTTTTGTAGGGATAAGAAATGAAAATTATTTTTGGAATCACTTAACTAAATTAGTCTTGTTGGAACGAAGTTATCGAGCGTTGCGAAAGGGGGCTAGACGGAATAAATTAAGACCAAAAGTTGTAACGTCACTTTTTGCTATAGTTGTTATATTTTACATTTTCGATTTAGCTATCGTCAACGTCCATATCACGTTGAATACACCGGTTCTCGTCAGATCACATAAGTTAAGCTTCGTCGGGCGAGGTCAGTACTTGGATGGGTGACCGCCTGGGAACACCTCGTGATGTTGGCTTTTTTTTTTCGTCGTAAGATTGGTGTCGAGAAAATCTATCATACTGTTATGATACCAATTAACATATAAATTAATCGAAAGGAATTTCGTTCCATCCGGGTGTCCCTTGACACCTCTAAAGTTTTTTTTGTCAATTTCTTTTCTGAAATACTTGGCTTGCGATAAAATATATCGTGTAAATTTCGAAATCATCTTCAATATACATTTTCGTCATAAAATAATTTCAAACTGTCAAAAATTGGCTATGTTTGGATTTTTTTTCTATCGAGCACAATTATTTAAATCGTATATCGATCTTTCAAAATGGATACATAAACTACTTGAGTAGTTTATGTAAAAAAATATATATTTTCCACTCCTTCAAGAAACGATGACAAAAAATGGAAAGAAACAATGTACTTTTTTGGAGTTTGGCGACCAGATAGGTCCTTAAGACGAGTGAACCCATTATTGTATCAATATTCAGCATTTCATGTGTATACGTACACTTATTGGTTGGTGGACTCTGTTTAAGCACTTAGACTTTTAATACATATTACACTTTTGAATGTCAATATTAAAACATTTCCAAATATGTGAAATAATAATTTAAAATATATAAATAAAGATGTCAAAAAATGTTTCGGTTTCTTTAATTTTCTTATTTGGTGATTACGTCAAGAGTAATTATTTACTTTTTTACACATATTACCCACACATTGTTTATGCTTTACATATCGCACCCAAAAATATAGATTACTTTGAAATATGAAAGATTTTGTATAAAATATATTTTTCAGGTCAGCATGAAATACCCGATTTAGATGAAATCGAGCGAGAGATAAAAATGCTTGATGAGCAAATACTCAAATTGGCTGAATCAAATAACATCAATGCTGAGGCAGTGTTGGCGTCTACGGAAACAATGCGTAAGTATATCAAGCAATATTTAAAAAAAAATCTGGGTGGCTACAACCTTTTTAGGTCCGGATCTCAGATTTTTGAATCTGTTTCAAAATCATTTGTTAATCTAATAGGCAGGTAAGTTATCAGCCTCCTGTGCCTGACACAAGCGGTCGATTTTTGGGGCTTAAGGAAAGCCGGTTCCCTTACGATGTTTTCCTTCACCGTACGAGTGAATGTTAAATGCGCACATAGAATGAAAGTCTATTGGTGCACATCCGGGGATCGAACCTACGACCGTAGGGGCCGTCTCCACAAGCGAGAGAATCGCGACGAGTCCGCGATTTTATCATCGGGTAATCTCCACGAACGAGCGATTATTCCGCTAGCGTATCGTCGCGATTCGTAACGGAAACACAGCGTATCCGCAACGACTCGTAACGGAATCGCCGCGTTTCTTTGACGACGCGTTGTGCTTTTATTTTATTCAGTGTTCATTTAGAGTTCAGTGGTGCGAGAAATAAGTAGTGTCTAAATCAGTCAATAAAATAATTATTTACTATGGAAAATCAAACCATAACTTTGCTTTAAATTCTCTGTTCCGATACTCTTGCAACTGAACATCGTAAAGGGCAGGTTTCCCTCTCACTTCAAGTATAAACTTTTCAATATCAAACATTGTACTTATTGTTTAAAAAGCTTGTCGATACGCAAGGTCCTTTTTTGGCGAGATGCAAAGCATAAATGAAGTGAACAGGACGCCTGCGTTTAACAGCGCGCACGTCGCGTTCCGCGGCGAGTGCGCGACGTGCGCGCCACCAGTAGCGACAGGCTCGCAGCGATGTAATGACGTTTCGCGCGTACTCAACCACCCGCCGCATCGCCGTGTGGAGACACATTCTATAAGATTGTATAGAAATGCGTGGCAGGACGATTGTATCGTTGCGATTTACTCGCTCGTGGAGACAGCCCCTTAGGGATGAGAGTCGCAGGCTGAAGCCACTAGGCCAACACTGCTCTGATAAGCAATATTATAATAAAATAAATAATATATAAAATTCTCGGAATTCAGATTCGGTATCTCCAAAAAGTTCTAAAATTACCTATCACTTATCCTGTTCCAAGTTTCTTTCTGTTAATACATGATTCTATCTATGTGTAGCTTTGTATATTTTGTCAATTAAAATAGTGAATATTTCACACATATCATCTTTAATTGATATCGTTACTTAGCCTACCTTTTTAGTACATACCAACATGGAACATTTTGCTATGCTACCCCAGAGATTGACAGAACATTTAGAGGGTTGAAAGATAGATAGTAGCCGATTCTGAATTCCGAGAATTTTATATATTAGATATGCAAGTAAATCATACTTAAACAATCTTTCTCCGTCCACATCTTTCAATCTATATTTAAAAGAGTAATTAATATCAACAATAATATTTGTTAGATTCGGGCTTGGAAGCTACAATCTGCGTAATTTAATATTATTTTTATTAGAATCATAAAAAAGTACATTAACATACAATTGCTTGAACAATTAAATTAAAACATTTATTTTAATCAATTAAGGTTATTTGCATACAATACTGCTTTAACATTTTATTAAAATCATTAATGTACAGTAGAATTCTTTGTTTTTTCAATCAATATTTTCCACAGTCAGTAAACCTTCTAATATATATTGTAATTGGGGCAGACTGTTTCTTTTGTCTGGTTTGGGATGTTTTCCATTCCACAATTGAACATATTTAAAGAATTGGGCGCCGGCATTTAATCTGCACGTTTAATTAGATTTGTACATATCTCAGTTTCATTTTTACTAACAAAAATAGTACGTTCTCCTGGATTTAAAATATGATATTCAATTCTGCGCTATATAACTCGTATTTATTTATTTCCTAAAAGGTCGGCAACGCACTCTCATGTTTAACAGTGTCAATGGTATCACTTAACATGTGACCCACAGCCCGTTCTTCCCATGTTTTTAAAAAAAAAAATACATAGTATACTATAAAAATCATGACAATCTGTTCAAATGCAAGCTTTTCATATGTATTTCGTTTATTAAATATTATTATTAATGTTTTAAGAATATAAATATGTATACCTTTTTATCAGCATCCCCATCATTACCAACTGAAGCAGATCAATCAACGAAGCTCTTCCCAATCTTCACTAAGCCTAATCCAGGAATTTTGACAAATATGACTAAAGGTAAATTTTCAGATATTCAGTTTTTTATGAAATAATTTATGTTGTGTGTGTAATTTGGTACCACATAAAAAAATTATATTATTTGTAATTGAAACTTTAATTAAATGCGTTTATTTATTTAAAAAAATAGTAGACTCGGTTCACTAATGTGTTACATGTTAGTTTAAAAGACTATGACAATCATACAAAAACACCTTTTGGTTCACAGAATCTCCGGATAAAAAGAAGAAATTTATAAAGACTGGGATCGATCAGTATGTGATCGATGCTGGGCAGAAGAAATTTGGGGCCACGCAGTGCAGCGAGTGTGGCGTTATATACCAGGTAATTGTTCACATTTGATTATTATTACACTTCCTTCTTCCGTCGAACTTGGCCTACGACGAGCAAAAACAATCAAAAGCTAGTAGTTTGTCAACGCAGCATGGAAAGGAGCATGCTTAAATAAGACTACCAGATCGATGGACAGCTTCAAAAATAAGAAAAAAAACAAACGTCAGTGACGTGCTACAAAAAAAAAGGAAGCTTAAATGGAACTGGATTGGACATATAATGAGGACTTACAAAGAAAAATGGACTAAGGATGTAATAGAGTGGTGTCCGAGAAACGGGAAAAGAAAACGAGGGAGGTCAAATTAAAACGAGGGAGGACGATCTGCCAAAAGGATGGAGAAGGTCTGCCAAGGATAGAGAGATGTGGAAACGATTGGGGGAGGCCTATGTCGACAGACAACCTGACCAAAGTGGTTGCTAATAAATTATTATTTTCGCTATGTAAATTAGATTTAAGAATGCTACTGTTAAATTAGAATAGCATGTAAGTTAAAAAGGTCAGTGAATAAAGGGATTTTATTATTATTATTACACTATCACAAAATTGTTGCATTATTACTTTGTTGGACCAAATAAATTTAAAGTGATTTATGTTTCACCATCTCTTTAAAAACTTTAAATTCTCATCAATAATGCTTCAGGTCAAGATGTACTTTACATTTACAATATACTGTTATTATTATTAAGTAATATTGTATTAGTCTTATGATTAAAAGCGTTTTTACCTGCATATGAAAGACCTCAAAAAATCCAATATTTGGAATTAACTGTTATCTTGTAACAAATGGAAGTAAAAAATATTTTAATAATTGCATTATATATTCAATATGCTTTTTTTACAATATGTTATAATTTTCAGATCGGAGATCCATTAGACGAGCACGATCATCTTATTCACCACAATGCCACCGATGTTCTTAAATTTAATGTAAGTGTATTTTGTAATATAAATTATTTGACATTTGTTATTTCCAATATCCAATCCAGATCAGTGTTGGCCAAGTGGCTTCAACGTGCGACTCTCATTCGTACTTTCTTTTATGTGCACGCACATATTTTAACATTCGCTCGAACAGTGAAGAAAAACATTGTAAGAAAACCGGCTTGTCTTAGACTCAAAAAGTAGACCGCGTGTGTCAGGCACAGGAGGCTGACCACTATATATAATGTTCAGCAGTCATTATATTATATTAAACTATTTTTAGACCTTCGTTTATGTCACAATCATAAACCAAAAAGTACTGCGTAGAAGTCGCGGTGGTACTCCTAACAGACGTACCTAAATGTGTGTAGTATTAATATTTTTTTTTATAATTTCAGGGTTGGAAAGACGAATACATAGTAGAGAAGACACAAACGGGTCGTATTATTCGCGTTCGTGGTGGTGATACAGGGTGGAAGAAAGTCCTCTCCGTGCTCAACAGGGTGGTCCATCCTCAACTCGGATACAGCTCAGATTTGCCAGGAGAAACTCATGGATATACAGTAAGTATTTATTTCTTGATGGCCTGAGTAATGTGTATATATAATATTTTTAACAACACCTGAAAAAACTATTGCCTTCTTACCTATTGCATAGATTTTAAGCGCTTTGGCTTTGAACGCGGCGACCGAATCAAGAAATTCCGTAACGAAATTAAAAACCTAACGATGACGTAATTAATATAGGGCAACCAATACGCGTTCGAGCGAGACAGAACGCATACTGCGTTTCATTTCGGTCTGGCGTGATCGGTGACGTAGCGCAGGTACGTTAGAGTGAGACCGACTATATAGGCGTGTTAGTCTGAGTGTGGTAGAGTGGTATATTGAATTAATATCAAGGAACAAAAATACTGCATAAATAAATAATTATAATTGCATAAGTTGATAAAAAATGCTATGCAATAGCATTACCGCGGCAGTCCCCGAGTGCCACACGTTTTTAATTCTTTAAATAATATGGTAATCAGCTGACATGACACACGCCGTCGATTTTTAGGTTTGAGGTCGGTTTTCTCATGCTTCCATCGTCGTACGAGCTAGTGTTATGCGCATATAGGAAGAAAAACCCATTAGCCATGATTCATATAAAATTTCTTATGTATTTCGTATTACATATTAACCTTTAATTTGCAGGCCTATCTGTACATTGAAAAGAAGCAAATCGTGGGTTGTCTGGTGGTTGAACCCAAAGCCAGAGCTTACAAGTTACTTCCAGGAGAACCTGACTGCTGCAGCGTCGAAGAATATCCTGTCAAGTAAGTCATGAGACAATTAGTGTTTATATATAAACTTTGCATCATCTTTTAATTGTATGTAATACCAAAGAAGGTATTTCGCGCAGTTCCTGGTCGGTCCTCCGCCTATTCCTAGAATATCTTATCTTGTATATCTTTTTAAATTATGTATATGTTATAATTTTGCAATGTATATGTGATTTCTAATAATAAATGTCTAATTAAAAACAATCTACAGATGCGGTGTATCCAGAATATGGACCCACGCGAAGTACCGCAGACGGGGCGTAGCAGTTCGTATGCTGGAATGCGCACGCGCATCTTTCCTCTATGGAGTCGCTCTCACCAGACAGGAAATTGCCTTCTCTTCTCCTACTCCCTCGGGGAAGGCTTTTGCCACGAAATATTGTGGCACCGAAAACTTTTACGTGTACTTGAACTAATGTGAATTAGATAAGTGAACTGAAATAAGTTAAGTGAAAACAAATATGTGAATAAGTGACTTAAGGAGTAAGTGATAAGTTAGTTTAGTTAGTGAATAGAAACTACGCTATGTAGAGTTCTACAAGTGGTGTAGAATACTTTGTCAGTCATTTGAATACTCAACAAAATGTTGGAACTGTTAGGAAGCGTTCAAGTATTACGTAACGAATTTTGGGGGCGAGGGGGTCCTTTTGTAAAACGTTACGGTGCGTGGCGGGGATTGAATTACGCGTTATTATTAATATTATTTTCGTCTTTACAGTACTTTACACCACATAATGGTAACTTTTAGGTACAAACAGGTGGTGTAGGTGGTCACGAAACGTTTTACTATTGGGTACAGAAAAACGTTACGGGCGTTATGGGGGGTGGGGGGGGTCAAGAATCTCCAAAAATTGCGTGATGTAATACTTGAACGCTCCCTTAGATCCAAGTAATTTTTTTAGGAAAAAAAGTGAGAACTTCCTTTGGTATAGAATTTTGTATCTTAAGTATGTTTCTTTGATAAAAAAAATATGCGATTAGTTTCTTGAACTAGTTAAGTGACTTTTCAACCTTGATTAAGGATTATTTAGATATTGGCATGGTAGTCACATTTGTTTCGATTTTTTTAAATGCTTGTTTAGTGCTAAATGCAGAAAGTTTTAATTTCTACCGCATTTTTTTAGTTATTACCAGAAAGGCACTTTTCATTTTTTTTTTTATTTCTTGTGTTTGCTCCTTGTCTTTTATAGAAGTTTTTAATGTAATATTTTCCAATTGTGATGCATATTTGGGACCAATATTTTAGTCATATTTATAAGTGCCAATTTAATTTATAAGATGAATGTGCCTCAGTTAGGTTAAGTTTTTTATTTAAGATATAAGGTTTTTATTAAAAAGAGCTCAAATACATTTTAAATTCTTTAGAAATATTATTACAGCTCTCTAAGTGCCGTGTGAATTTATTCTTTATTAAAAGCCTATTGGTCCGATTTGGTTGATTTTTTGTATAGAAAGTTTTTACTTGGAAAAATATTTGATTAGTTTTAAAGCAGATAGTTTTCATATAAAATTGGGACACAAGTCATTTTAAACCGTTATAATGTTTGGCTTTTAGTTTTAAATTTAAGTTTCATATTATGTGTAGTTGATATGTCTAGAATTCCCAGAAAATACGCTTATTTGTCATAGAGTACTTAGGCATTTAGGCTTTAAGACCCTTACCTTAAGTATTAGAAAGATTGATTTTCTTTGAAATATCTTATAAGTTTGTCTTAAAGTACAATGCTTAAAAATTTGTTGAGCTATTAGTCCGTGACCATTTGAAGAACTGTCAAAATGTTCTTATGTGTAGCTATTGACGATACTCATGACAAGATTTTGACTTGAGGGTATGGAGTTCAGGCCTCACTATTTAGCAGTGTATATTTTTTAGTAAAATGGTTTAGCGTGTTGGATTGAATGTATAATTGTGCTTGTTAAACAACTTCATTTTTCAATTATGAATTAATTCTTATGTTGTTTAGTGTTTAAATAGATGAACTGTGTTGAACCATTTACCATCAAAAGTAATATGCAGAAAACTTCTAAACTTATGAGAGTAGATGTTACATCTACCCTCGTCTTTAAAAAAATTGAGTATGGGTAAAAAATGTCTGATTATTTCTTTATTTTGTTATAGTAGTATATTCAAATACTCAAATGCAATGTAAGAGCTCCAGAAGCCTTCCCCTTTTTTTCGTTGTTCCCCTTTTGATTTAAAAAATAATGTCTGATTACACTAGTGTAACTAAAGTTTCTTCCATTTAAATTGAGTTTGATGAAGCTGTGTCGAAGAGATATATTGGTGATTTAGTTATAACAGTGTAATACATTAGTTTTTATAAGGGATAATTTAAGTAAGGACCTTTGTGAATTTGGATACAGTTTTAATTTTCCATAAGTTTTTGTAAAGCGGGGATGAATCCAAAGAAAGTGTACCTTTAACATTGCCATAGAAATGTAAATAATATTTATTTGCGTAAACCTCTGGATGATTGTATCCCTGTTTTTAAGTTTTCACAAAGAAATTTCGATTTGATTTTAATAAAAGCTATATTTTAGAAACTTTTTTTAATTCTAACCTTCATATTGCACTGACCCTGATATTTATAAATTACTTAAAATCTGGAAGTAATTATCGTTTTATTTTCTCTTTATATACGAAACAGATACTTAATTATGCGTTTTGAAAATCACGCAATACTCGAATGAGTCAAGCCACTTGACTCAAGTGGCCTCAAATATATAAAAAAAAGTATTGTACATTCATAACAAAACCATAACTTTGAATTGAAACCAAAAATAACAAACACCTCTCCTGAAGATTATTTTTTTATTTTAGCTGAGATTAATGTGCATAAAATGAGAATAATTAGCTGATTCTTCGCTTCTGCATGGCCATGCCAGTAGAGCAGTGTTGGCCTAGTCGATTATGCGAGCGACTCCTATGGATTATATATCACTCCTTCGTACCGCGAAGAAAAACTTGAGGCAACCAAAAATTTTCGGCGTGTATCGATTACAAAACAGAAACACAAATCTGAGGCTCAGACCTTGCGGTTATAAAGCGACTGTTTTTTCTGACTGCATTTGTTTGACACATACTTCACACACATCACGCTTTTGAATAATGACGCTTTCAGTGATTAGTCGAGTTCAAGTATTGAAAATTTAATACAAAAAGTCCGTTTTAAGCTAAAATGGTTAATATTTTTAATTATCATTTTCGGGAAAAAAATATTATTTCCCGGAGGGGTAGGCCGAGACCATGGACTCCAATTGCTACGGTCGATGTGTAATAGCGACACACCACTGTCGCTATTACTTACATATACTTCTTAACGCTCTCATTTCATTCACGGCATTTATTCAACTCGCATTCTTTCTCTGCCACGCCCCACACCCAACATTCACTATCGTATGTTAACGTCGGGATAAGCACTCCCCTATGTACGGCGAGTCGAACCTCGTTTGAGATTTTTGGTGTAGCCAAAAATCTCGATAAATCTTTACGATGGTTTAGAAAAATTAATTCATAGATCTAATAAATGTATTCAGCTTAAGGGTTATATTGAAAAGGAAAAATAAATTTACTGTTTCATTTTTACTAAAACCCTTTCATTCCACGAACTTTTGGACCTCCCCTCGTAAATGAATTCAACGCTCCATTTACTCTACTATAGCATTCGCTCGTCTTTCTATATCATCGTCATTGCCATCCGAAGTAAGCATACAGCCTAAGTACACGGACTTATCCAATTGTTCCACTTTTTCATGTATACAGACCTATTGACACCGCTTCCAAATACCATAGATTTTGTTTTTCGTGTCTTTAATCCTCTTATAGCACTCAAAGCGTGTTTCTAACCAGCTCTTTCGCCGAAGACGCAAGTATCACTTGGTGGTCAGCGTCAGGACAATTAGCTGGCCCATTTTTAATCTCCGTACACTCTTTTTTATGTTTCAGACAATTGTCCGTTAATAGGTTAAACAGGCAACACAACTCTGTCTCACACCTTTCTCGATAGGACCCGTCTAGGCTCCGTCGATTCTTTCGCATGTCATAAAGTCTCTATATAGATATTTTAACGCCTGGATCAACTGGCGGCTCAACTCATACATAGACAATGCTGTCCATAATTCATTCTTCGCCACACAAAGGTAAGCCATTTTCAAATCTACAAAAGAAAATTTTTCGATAAGGCATTATAAGGAACCTTTTCCAAGCACACCTTTCTAAATCCTGCTTGCACATCCCATACTTTTTCTTATTTATCACTCTTTTCAATTGAAATAAATACCTTCGCATAAAATTTTCCGGTAACGCTAAGCAAGCTTATTCCGTGGAACTTTTTACAATCTTGTAAAAGGAAAATGGGTCTTTTTTCATAATTAATTGGAAAGTTACAGCTTTTCGTTAATCGTACGGCACCGTACCGTGTTTCCAGCAACTTTTAAAAAGGTACAAGTAATTTAGAAACCCAATCGAATCCCGCCGACTTTCATTCCCATTATAGCTTCCACAATCTTGTTCTCACTTATCTCGTCTGTATCTCTCTTACCCTGGTTATAAGCGACCGGTTCCTTGTCAAATAAACCTTCAAAATACTCCTTGTAATTTAGCATGCTATCACCACCCATAATTAGGCCATGGTCATGGATTCTGAGAATTTCGGATGACTTTGCTCTAGAACTTAACGGCTTTTCAGAAAATCTTTATTAATTCTGAAATCATGAGAAAATAAAATGGTTATGATATTCATTACTATTTACTCACGAGAAGAACTTAAGTACTCCATTTATGATCATACTCTTTAGGTACTAGGCGTAAGTAGGTACTCCTTTTGATTACAACGAACTTTGGGTTTCACCATATATTTTTTTTAAATGTAATAGGAGGCAAACAGGCAGGAGACTCACCTGATGTTAAGTGATACCGCCGCCCATGGACACACAATGCCAGAAGGCTCGCAAGTGCGTTGCCGGCCTTTCAAGAATTGGTACGCTCTTTTCTTGAAGGACCCTAAGTCGTATTGGTTCGGAAATACTTCAGTGGGCAGCTGGTTCCACATAGTGGTGGTGCGCGGCAAAAACTGCCTTAGAAAACGCTCAGTTGTGGAACGAAGGACGTCGAGGTGATACGGATGGTATTTTGTATTTTGCCTTGACGTCCGATGATGAAACTCAGCTGCAGGTATTAATCCGAACTACTCCTCTGAACACTCTACATGGTAAATGCGGTAGAAGATGCAAAGAGACCCCACATCTCTACGCAACGCCAAGGGATCAAGCCGCACGGAAAGTGACTGGTCGTCGACGATTCGAACCGCTCTTCGTTGAAAATATGAAATAACTTATGAATTTAAACCTCTCGAACTTATATTTACATACTAGGTACAGGAAAATAAAAAAGCACAATTTTAAAACAACATTTATT